TGTGTTCCAATGTCCAGCAGCTGGAAAATATGCAAGAAGAAGCGAAGTCTACGCCCCTCTTTGCCGGCTTTCGTGGCCGCTACGTACTCCAATTTGGTCGATGACAGCTTCTCGCACTTGATGCGGCAGGAGACGAGAGAGCCCCTCCGAAGATGAACACGTATGTGCCTGTGCTCGTCCGGTTTGCTTGTCGCCTGCATCGTCGGCGTCTATTTAGCTGACCAAATTCAGCGACTGTACCCCACCGCCAAAATTTAGGGCGGTATCACGAGTGTCGAGCGATGTAGGCAAGGCAACGGTCGCCTTATGACCAGTGCTGATTCCTCTCACTGTCAGGGCGCTCCTCGACGTCGTCGCTTGCGAACTGCAGTGAGCGACTTCTGTCGGTACTCTTCCTTTTGGTGCTCCAAGCCTTTCGTCGTCGAACGGAGCTCCTCGTAGGCGTCGACGGAGACTAGCGTCTTCAGGATCTGCCCGGTCTGCTCCTCGTCGATGAAGCACCTGCGCAGCTATTGATATAGCTCTGTTTGTGCAGCCACAACTTCCTCGCCGGCCTGTCACGCACGATCCCCCGCCCGAGGTACTTCACATGGGCTGATCTTGCGCAGCAAAAAGGCGGCCTCCAACAGCTCCTTCAGCTCCCTCAACTGTTGGTGTAAGGGCCTAATAAACTCAAGCTATTAGGACTTAATCAAACTTAAAACCTCTCCTCGGGGTCACCTCCAAGGGTCCCTGGGTGCCTGGTACAAGACCAGCCCCTATCCTTGGGTCCGAGTTTGTAGAGAGAGGGATCAAGAAGGACTTAGTCAAAACAGAAAGAGTACCTTGAACGTCGCGCAGCGTGTCGTGCAGACCGTCGATCGGATTAAGCTGAGAATTCGCTATATCGAAGCTCGCTCCAAGAGCTTTAAAATGAGCCAAGTTGCCTCGCGAAAAGTTCTGCCATTACTAAGTTCTGGCTCAGACGGTGTTTGCCTAGCGTTGGAGTGCTAGCATACTAGCGTTGACTCGGGTAGCATTCCGCTGTCGAATAGCGCAGAAACCAAACTCCAGCGAGGAAGGAATTCGCTTGAATCAATTGACTATATTCAGGTACAAACAGAGAAGGATTAAATAGTTCTAGCTAGCAAAGACCTTGGGAATCAACCTGGGAACAACCAGGGATGATCCCAAACAATTCCAAGCAACAGAACCAATCTGGCTGGACAAAATAGCAGGTGGTAGGTTGGTAAACAACCTCTGGTTCTGTTTTTCCAACCTGGGAAAACAACAAAACCAGGTTCAGGTTCTAAAAACAGAACCTGTTTTGTCTTTGCCCAACCAGCCAAATGCTGGTTCCGCTGGTTTTCCCTGGCCTTGTAGCATGCAGATACAGAAAAACAACATCCAATCTCACCTCAATTGTACCCCTATAGTGCCTTCCCTGCTACACTATAGTTAACCAAACAAAACAGTACAATTTCGAATTGGATAGAACTGAATCTGCGCAATCAACTCAACCGAACTGCAAAGCTTCCATCTTGGGTTCCTTTGCGAGCTCGTCCTTTCTGCTTGCACTGTTCATAGCGCGTACAATGTTGTGCCGAAGCGCACATTGCGCGAGTACCTGCAAATGCTTCAAGCGAAAATTGCGGGAAACACAACAAACACACGAACATTCCATTCACACCCAAATGCATTCGCACATGCATACTTGTACAAACAGATGGCAGGATGTCGTGCAATGTAAATTTGCACCCAACACACTCCCCCTCAGCCTGCCGGCTGCATCCCCATCATTCCATGCTAGTTCATGCTCATTCCACTCATGCGCACACAACGCCAATGAGGCTCATCCGCAAGCTTGGTGAGAAAGTCTCTGGCTGCGTGTGAGTCTTGATGTAGATCGGATTCACCGTCCCCCTCTTCACCTCCTTACGCAGCCAGTGCCACTTGATACGCATGTGCTTGTTCAGCCCATGAAGCACAGCGTTCCTGGCCATCCCAAGAGCCCCCTTGCTATCACACACAGCGGCGTAGCAACTTTCTGCTCCTGGCCAATCTCCTCTAACAGCCTCCTCAGCCAAATCACCTCCTTCACCCCATGGAACATCGCCATGTACTCTGATTCTACGGAAGAGAGTGCCGTCTCCGTCTGCTTCTTGGACCCTTCAACTAACAGGTCCTCCCCCAACTACGCAGATGTATCCTCCCACAGATGAAGAATCTTCCTTCTCAGAAGCCCAAGTAGCATCAGTAAAGCAAGTGAGAAAGAGCTTGCCTTCTCAAGCCTCTCCCCCTTCTCTTTCAGCACCTCCACCCCTTTCTGCTTCACCTGTGCAGATGCGGAGTATTGAACTCCAATGCTTGGGTGAGAGTTCAGGTACTTCACCACACGCTCAGCTGCATCCACCTGCTCCTCTGATGGATTCTGCACCACCCTAGCCAGCTGCCCAACCGAGAAAGAGATGTCGGGCCTCGTGTGAACTGCTGCGTACAAGAGGCTGCCCACCAAGGACTGAAATTGCTGCTGCTCTTCAGCTTCAATCCCTTCATCCTCTGCAGCCTTCACAAGCTTGAATTCTGCTGGCAGGGGAGTTGCAACCTTGCGCTCCTTCTAAATCCCATACTTCTCCTCCAGCTCCTTGATGAACTTCTCCTGGTGCAGCTTCAACCACCTGTGATCAGGATCCCTCTCCACGTGCATCCCGAGGTAGTACTTTACCTCCCCAAGGTTCTTGCACTTGAAGTTTTCCATCAGTTGCTGCTGCACTTTCTGGATCTCCTTCATGCTGCTGCTGAAGAGAAGAATGTCGTCCACGTAGACCAGAAACAGCACCAGCTTCTCCCCCTCGCCCTTGAGAAAGAGGCTCTCATCACAGCTGCTGGTCTGAATCCCATCTCCTCTCTAAAAACAGCTGCCACTTCTGGTTACAGCAGCATGGCGCCTGCTTCAAGCCGTTAGATGAGACTTGTTGAGCTTGCACACCCTGCCCGTACCATCCTCATACCCAGGCGGCTGCGTCATGTAGACATCCTCCTCTAAAATCCCATTCAGGAATGCCGTTGAAATATCCATCTGAATGATGAATTTTCCACTAACTGCTGCATCTGCCAACAAGACACGGAGGGTAGGGGGTTTGGCAGTGGAGCAAGATCTCGTTGAAGTCCTGCTTCTCCTTCTGCATAAACCCCTTCGCCACCAGCCTACTCTTGTAGATGGTGACCTGCCCCTTGTCATCGGTCTTGATTCTCAGCACCCACTTGCATTGTATCGCTTTCTTCCCATCAGGCAGCACCACCAGATCCCATGTCCCATTCTCCAGCAGGCTCTGGTACTCAGCATCCCTAGAAGCCAGCCACTTGTCCCTATCTGTGTTGGGTGCAAATGCATATTGCACGACATCCTGCCGTCTGTTTGTACGAGTATGCGTGTGCGAATGCATTTGCGTGTGAATGTTGTGTTCGTGTGTTTGTTTGCTTTCGCATTTTTCGCTTGATGCATTTGCAGGTACTCGCGCAATGTGCGCTTCGGCATAACATTGTACGCGCTATGAACAGTGCAAGCAGAAAGGACGAGCTCGCAAAGGAACCCAAGATGGAAGCTTTGCCGTTCGTTGAGTTGATTGCGCAGATTCAGTTCTATCCAACTCGAAATTGTACTGTTTTGTTTGGTTAACTATAGTGTAGCAGGGAAGGCACTATAGGGGTACAATTTAGGTGAAGGTTGGATGTTGTTTGTCTGTATCTGCATGCTACAAGGCCAGGGGAAACCAGCGGAACCAGCATTTGGCTGGTTGGGCAAAGACAAAACAGGTTCTGTTTTTAGAACTGAACCTGGTTGTGTTTTCCCAGGTTGGAAAACAGAACCAGAGGTTGTTTACCAACCTACCACTTGCTATTTTGTCCAGCCAGGTTGGTTCTGTTGCTTGGAATTATTTGGGATCATCCCTGGTTGTTCCCAAGTTGATTCCCAAGGTCCTTGCTAGCTAGAACTATTTAATCCTTCTCTGTTTGTACCTGAATATAGTCAATTGATTCATGCGAATTCCTTCCTCGCTGGAATTTCGTTTCTACGCGGTTCGTTGGCGGAATGCTACCCGAGTCAACGCTAGTACGCTAGCACTCTAATGCTAGGCAAACACCGTCTGAGCCATAACTTCGTAATGGCAGAACTTTTCGCGAGGCAACTTGGCTCATTTTAAAGCTCTTGGAGCGAGCTTCGATATAGCGAATTCTCAGCTTAATCCGATCGACGGTCTGCACGGCACGCTGCGCGACGTTCAAGGTGCTCTTGCTGTTTTGACTAAGTCCTTCTTGATCCCTCTCTCTACAAACTCGGATCCGAGGATAGGGGCTGGTCTTGTACCAGGCACCCAAGGACCCTTGGAGGTGACCCCGAGGAGAGGTTTTAAGTTTGATTAAGTCCTAATAGCTTGAGTTTATTAGGCCCTTACACCAACAAGCTGGTATCAGAGCTGCGTTATAGTAATCCTCGTTATAGGTAGCTATGGCGGGCAACACCTCGGCGGGAGCTGGTGAATCTTCAGCCCAAGATCGTAGCGGCAGCCAAGATTCTGGTCTTTCAGCGCCAAAGGGAGCGCGAACAAACCAGGGCTCGCTTGTCAAGGAGGTGCTGAAGAATTTCACCGTCGAGAAGTTCAATGGTGAGGGCTATGATGATTGGGCCTGGAAATGCAATTATATTTCGTCAGATCGGTTTGCTGAAACTAATGATTGGGGAGGAGCCTAGACCGAGTGACCCCACGCTGCAGGAAGATTGGGATGAGCGCTCCTCGGCTGGCTACTATTTGATGTCGCAGAGTTTGGAGCTGAACCAGCGTCACCACGTCATGCACCTGCTGCCGGAGGTTGAATGCGGTCCGAAGGCGTGGACCGTGTTGAAGGAGCTGCACGCCCCGACCTCCGTTGTCGCAACGTTGATGCTGGAGAGGGAGCTGTCCGCGTTGCGCCTGAGCGAGGGAGAGCCGGTGCAACCAGTCCTGGACAAGATGCGCGACCTCTACGCGAAGTTGGCGACCGCGCGGAATCACCTACCCGGAGCAGACCAAGTGCTTGAAGATGCTCTCGCTGCTGCCGGAATCGTGGCTTCAATTTACGAGCGGATTGAGCCTGCCGCAGAACCAGAGCTTGTGGACGCTCGAGTGGGTGCGGACGAAGATTCTGGAGGAGGACTTCCGTCGCCGCCAACTGAGGGGTGGAGACGACGGCAGCAGCGGCTACGGGATGCAAGGGAGCCGACGTGGCAGAGGACGTGGCTTCGGTGGTGCTGGACGCGGTGCAAGGAAAGACGACGACTCCAACGACCAACAAGGAGGTACCGGTTGGGGTCGCGGTGCGAAATCTGGACGTGGGGGCAAGTCGGGTGCTGGTGGCAAAATGAAAAGGAGTTGCTGGTATTGTGAGAAGGAAGGGCACCCCTGGTTTTTGTGCTATAAGAAACCCGATGGATGGAACCCCCAGAATCGTCACCAGGATGGCGGCGCGCGGAGGAACCAGAAAAACGGCGCCAACATGGTCGCTGATTCGTCCGACAACAACCCGAAGGGCAACGGCGGTGCAGAGAAGAAGAAGGAGCGCACCGCGGGCCAATTCTTCCATGTGGGAGACAAGGGGAGCAAGGAGAGAAGAAGGAGCGCACCGCGGGCCAATTCTTCCATGTGGGAGACAAGGGGGAGCAAGGAGACGCCTCTGCCAAAGTTGGAGCAGAGCTGCACCCCCTAGACTATTGGGTGTTGGACACAGGCGCTGTGCTCCGCCTCTGGACACATGTTGAAGGTGGCTGGTGCGGGACGAGCTGCGTTTAAGGGAGCGGATGGCAAGCCGGTGGTGCTGCACGACGTTCTCTTCGTCCCCGACCTGAAGGCCAACCTTATCTCCCTCCGTAAGCTTGGCAAGGCTGGGGTGAACACCAACACGGATGGGGCACGCACTTATAAGGGGAAGCTGGGCAATCGGGTGCTTTGGGATCTGCACGAGAGCAAGGACGTGTACAGATCTATGTGGCAGCTGCCGGCCCTGGCGTGGCATGGTGGGGGGCAGGCTGGAGAGGGGTCTGCATCCCAGGGGGAGTGCAATGCCGTTGGAGGGGTTGGTGTGAAAGTGTCGGCCAGATCTGGGGAGACAGATTGGGCAACGGCACACCGGCGCTTAGGGCATGTGGCAATGCCTTTGCTGAAGCAGCTGGAGAAGGATGGAGCCGTTAAGGGTCTGAAGCTGAACGGACAGCCACCCGATGACAACTGTGAAATCTGTTTGCTTTCAAAGTTCACCCGTTTCCCTTTCCATAGTGTGGCTGGCAGGAGCAAGAAGCCTTTGGAGCTGGTCCACATGGACTTGGTGGGGCCGCTGCCGGTGCAAGGGCACAAGGGGGAGCGGTATTTTCTTACAATTGTGGATGACTGGAGCAGGCTGATGTGGGCGTATCCGCTGAAGCAGAAGGACCACGCCGCCTCCACGATACGGGACGATTGGCTGCCATTCGTGGAGAAGCAGGCGGAGTGTGTAGTGAAGCGGATTAGGACAGACCGGGGTGGTGAGTTCCTTGGAGCTGAAATGACGGCCTGGCTCAAGAAGCAGGGCATCCAGAGAGAGCTGACCACGGCTTATACCCCACAGTCCAATGGTGTAGCAGAACGGGCAAACCGGACCATTCTGGAGACAGCTAGGGCGCTGCTCATAGAATCTGGGCTGAGCAATTCTATGTGGCCTCATGCTGTCCGGCACGCCACCGTCGCTAGGAACAGGGTGCTCACCAAGGTTGGGGATGACTCGTGGGTGCCGTTGGAGAGGTGGCTTGGGAGGAAGCCGCCGGTGGATATGCTGAGGGTGTTTGGCTGCATGGCAGTCGCCCACGTCCCCAAGACCTACCGCAGTAAGTTGGGGGCAAGTGCAATCTGGTGTGTGCATTTGGGGCTGGCTGCTGAGAGCAAGGGATGGCTGCTGTGGGAACCATCCAAGGGTGTGTTGTTTGACAGCAGGGATGTGAAATTCATTGAGGGCATGATGTATGGGAGCTGGGAGAAACAGCCGGAGGCAAGGGTGTCCCAGCAGATGGAGCAGATCACCATGCAGCTGGACCTGACTCCTAGTGTGTGGGAGGAGGGAGAGGAGGCAGCTGCTGGAAATGGTGATGGAGAGAAGGTACAGGAGGCATCTGCTGGTGGAGAAAATGGTGTGGAAACTAGCGGCAGCACTAGTGGAGCTGCTGGACCCGAGGGAGGAGAGAAGCAGCAGGGAAAAACTAAGAAGCCGAAGGGTGTCGTTATGAAGGGATGGGAGACACCCGTCTCCAGGCCAGGACGTACCCGTATGGCTACTAAGAAGCTGACTGCAGGAACTGATGCAGCAGAGCAGCAGCTAGGGACCGAAGAGGCATTGCTGATTCTACCTCATGGCTATGACCCGGATGAGGAGGATGAGCCTGCGTACTGTTTTCTTGCCCCTGCACCAGAAGAACCAGCTAGCATGGAGGAGGCATTAGCTGGACCAGATAGGGACAAGTGGCTGGCTTCTAGGGATGCTGAGTACCAGAGTCTGCTGGAGAATAGGACATGGGATCTGGTGGTGCTGCCTGATGGGAAGAAAGCGATACAATGCAAGTGGGTGCTGAGGATCAAGACCGATGACAAGGGGCAGGTCACCATCTACAAGAGTAGGCTGGTGGCGAAGGGGTTTATGCAGAAGGAGAAGCAGGACTTCAACGAGATCTTTGCTCCCACTGCCAAACCCCCTACCCTCCGTGTCTTGTTGGCAGATGCAGCTGTTAGTAGGAAATTCATCATTCAGATGGATATTTCAACGGCATTCCTGAATGGGATTTTAGAGGAGGATGTGTACATGACGCAGCCGCCTGGGTATGAGGATGGTACGGGCAGGGTGTGCAAGCTCAACAAGTCCATCTACGGCTTGAAGCAGGCGCCACGCTGCTGGTACCAGAAGTTGGCAGCTGTTTTAGAGGAGATGGGATTCAGGACCAGCAGCTGTGATGAGAGCCTCTTTCTCAAGGGCGAGGGGGAGAAGCTGGTGCTGTTTCTGGTCTACGTGGACGACATTCTT